AGTGGTTGCACCGTTTTACACTCCCACCAACAGTGAATAAGGGTTCCAGTTTCTCCACAACCTCACCAGCATTTGTTGTTTGCTGTTATGTTAAATTTTGCTATTCTGACTTGGGGTGAGATGATATCTCATAGTTATTTTAATTAGCATCTCTTTTAGAGCTAGGGATTTTGAACATTTCTTCATGTGCTTGTTAACCATCTGAATGTCTTCTTCGGTGAAGTGTCTGTTCATATCCTGTGCCCATTTTTCTATTGGATTATTTACCTTTATCTTGTGATGACCTTCGTGGTTCTTACATTCCATAGCTTTTCATAACTGAAAGGAATATTTTATCAAAACAGAGTTTGAAGTTCTCTGATACAGTTAACTGTAAAACCAAATACTTCAATTTTTAGCTAAACCCTTATGTTTCTATCTATCAAGTAAACAAAATGCACAGGAACTTACCTGTTTTGTACTTAAGGTTCTGTGAGTTTTTAAGCAACAGACTGCATTTTTCAGGAAATCAATAGCTTGTTTGCAGTTGCTTGTGAAGGATTCCAGCTTCTAGAACGATTTGAGATGTGGCAGACAGCCGTAGAAAAGTTGTGTTAGATGCTGAAATAAACATCTTTGCCTTTTTACGAAGATGGCACCGAAAGTGAAGAAGGAAGCCCCTACCCCCCAAAACTGAAGGCAAAGCAAAGGCATTAAAGGCCAAGAAGACAGTCCTGCAGGGCATCCACAGTCACAAAAACAAAGAATATCTGCACGTCACCCACCTTCTGATGGCCTGAGACACTTAGACTCCGAAGGCAGCACAAATAACCCCAGAAGAGCGCCCCCAGGAGAAACAAACTTGACCACTATGCCATCATACCCCTGACCACTGAGTCAACCATGAAGAAGATAGGAGATAACAACACACTTGTGTTCATTGTGGATGTCAAGGCCCACAAGCTGTAAAGAAGCTCTATGACATTGATGTGGCTAAGGTCAACACCTTGATTAGGCCTAATGGAGAGAAGAAGGCCTATGTTTAACTTGTCCCTGACTATGATGCTTTGGATGTTGCCAACAAAATTAGGATCATATACATTGAGTCCAGGTGGCTAATTTTACATACAATTTTTTCTCACCATAAAACAACAACAAACATCTTTGAGGACCCTAGCTTTATGTTAACATCTTGATTGTAAAAGAGTGCTAGAGTGTTAAGTGTTAAGTTCTTTGGAAAATCCAGGGGAGCTTTCAGATGAGGGCCCCCTTCCATGACCCAGCTTGGATTTAGGGTCGCAGATAGGTTGGCATTCTCATGTCATAGTTGTTCAGAAAGAAAGTATGTCTGTTATGACTTGGCAGTGTGAAACTCAGGGTGGTGCTCTTTGCAAATCTGAGTGAAAACATTGACACAAGGAAAAGTTCCCAACCTTGGCAAGAGCAGACCAGTGCACTGTACCTTACTCACCCTTCGAAAGCAGATCCAGTCACTGTGGCTGTAGGGAAAGGAGCCATCGAGTTCTGTGGTCAGCTGGGAGCTGTCAATGAGCTTGTGTAAAGCCTTCAGGGAGCTTACCACCTCACACTGCCAAGGAATGGTGTTCATATGTTAGGGCAGAGACCAGTCCCCTGGGGAATCACCACTGTAAAGGACTTGGCTCTGGGAGAACTGCGATTACCAGGCAGAGAAGCCCAGCAGCTTGTCTTAGGGTGTCGTGCTTTGCTGGGTGGCATTAATGAACAGTAAACTAAAAATCTTGTGGCCTAGTGGCAAGAAGCTGTACTGCACTCCCAGAGGATGTTGTTGTTGTTATGTGCCGTCGAGTCGTTTGTGACTCATAGCGACCCTATACACAACAGCCCTAAACCCTGCTCTACCCTGCGCCAACCACTCTGCCTCTGACACACCCATCCCGATTACCCCAGTCACCGAATCAATCCATCTCATAGAGGGTCTTCCCCTCCTG